AGCTGGTGCGCGGCGTACCTGACCGCGTAGGGCCACAGAAAATGGGGGGCACAGGCGTGAGTCAGGGAGGTGCGGGCGATCTCCATGACCAGGCCTATGCGGCGCTCAGCAACCCCATTCTGCTGTGGGGACTCTGGAAGCGTCCAGGACTGACGAATGCCCTGCTCGCGACAGAATCCAGCGAGAATGCCGGAGCGAAACTCACCCCCACGGTCGGAGTGGAGACAGCTGACACGACGACCACGAGTGTCCTCAGTGGTGAGCAACCACCTGATCAGCGTAGAAGTCACCTCAGACTTCTTCGCCAGAGGGAACACTGTGGTGTAGCGGGAGAAGTCGTCAACGACCACCAGAAAGTAACGCTCACGCTCAGGGCCTAGACGAGGGGCTGGGCCCCAGACGTCCAAGTGAAGCGTCTCAAAAGGCTCGGTGGCCGGACGAAGGGAGGAGGAGTGAGGGGTGGCGCGCAGCCTACCCTCGACGCAGGGACGACACGGCGGCGCAGGCGAAGGCGGCAGCGACGGCAAGACACGTGGGAGGCCTAGGACAAGACGCTGACTAGACATAGCGCGCAGACGTGGAAGGGACGGGTGCCCCATCCAGTGGTGCCACAGAACGGTGGGGTGGGCAAGCGACCGGCAGGAGCACGACGCAGCGACTGGAACAGACGTAGGAACCTGACACGACACAGACAACTGGGGGGACGTAGCAACCTGGTGAGACGCGGGGACCCGAACGGGGGGGGGAACCGGGGGCAGTGGCAGTAGGGGGGGCTGCTGGTGCGGCCGGTGGTGCTGCTGCTGCTGCTGCTGCTGCTGCTGCTGCTGGTGCTGCTGCGGCTGCGGCTGCTGCTGCTGCTGCTGCGGCTGCTGCTGCGGCGCACGCGGGCCAGTGTGAAGAGTGTAGAGACCCGAGCCCGGCTCAGCAGTAAAGGTAGCAAGAGGCTGGTAAGAGTCTCCGTCAACACACACCGCAGTCTCTCCAGAAGGCTCAAACCACACACCCACGTGCTGACTCACGAGGGGTCGCACGCCCACCAAGTTCCGGGAGAACGAGGGGACGTGAAACCCAGTGAGAGACCCGGAGGGAGCAGCAGGACACGGTAAAGTGGTAGTGTGACGTGCAGTGACTGGTCCCGTAGTGGGATCAGCCAACGCTACAGAAACAGGCGCAGGAAGTGGTGTAAGTGTCGTGCTATCCCAAAAGAAGCAGTGGGAGGCTCCAGAGTCCAGTGTGAACGACAGCGAAGCGTCCTCTGAGGTAGTCGCTGGTCTAGAGTCTACACAAGTACCTACACTAGCAACAGGCAACTGAGCAAGACTAGCACCTAAGCTAACAACACCAGAGTAAACAGAGTCAGAAACACTAGAGTCAACAACAGCATACATAGCATGAGGAGCACTAATCAGATCAACTAACTGCTCAGCAGACATGCCCCACAGAGCGGAGCCGTAGCGCTGAACCAGAGGAAGCCAGTCAGGAGCAGGACCGCCAACCCCGTAGGTCAACCGGACCGTGTCAGTGAGCTGAGCAAAGCACTGACCAAGGGGGTGAAAGCGGCCACAAGGGTGGCCCCGACGAGGACCTGTCTGAACCTGGTAGGGGCAGGGAGGGTAAGCAGCACCGCGCTGGGGCTGACGCAGCCCTGACCGCGGAGCCAGCTGCTGACGGTGCTGCTGCTGAGGCTGCTGGGAGGAAAGGGGCTGCTGCTGCTGCTGAAGGTGCTGCTGACGCTGAGCCTGGTACCACGCCGCTGCTCCACCTAGCGGGGCCGGCAGTACAGGAGGCGACTTACGAGCTCGAGGGTCGCCGCCACCAGCAGGTGCAGTGGAGTCACCAGCCGCTGCACGAGGGGTCTCTCCAGACGCTGTACTCCCACCAACGCCAGTCGCAACAGCACCCCCACTACCTCCGCTACCTCCGCCTCCACCTCCACCGGAACCACCTTTCTTGCCCCCCCTGCCGCGGGACCGCGACGCAGTCGTAACAGCAGCCGCAGTCGCGTCAGTAGCGGCAGTGGCAAGAGAGGCAGTGAAGGTGGGTAACTGCGGGACTGTGCACCCGTGGAAGAGTGGGGGGGACACAGTACCAGAGGCGGCAGCTACCGAACGAAGGTTGCTCTCGACGTCCTTGAGTGCAGACTCAAGGACCTCGATAGTCAGCTCACTAGGGTGCTTCAGCAGAAGCGCGTCACGAACGGAGGCAAGGCGGTCAGGGAGGCTAGTGGCGATGAAATAGACAGTAATCGCCATGGGGGGAGGAAGCAGTGCAAGCTGTGTCTCAGTGCAAGCAGCGCGGTAACTAGCGTCGAGCGAGCGGAGGTGAGCGATCAAGTCAGCAGAGCGCTCAAACGAGGCAAGATCAGGAAACAGGAACGGGAGGAAAAGACGGCCGAGAGAGACAGTAGCGGGAGTAGAGTAGCGGGCCTTAATCGCAGTGAGGTACGCAGCAGCGGTGCGAACCTGAGTAAAGTGGACCTCCTCGGACTCAGGGAGGAGGCTGCTGAGTGTGATGCAGGCCGCAGCGTCACGCGACGTCCAAGCCGTCCGGTCAGCGCGCTGACGGGCAAAGCGAGCCGTAGCAGCGTCGTCAGGAGCAGGGCCTAAAGCTGTAGGCTCGGGGGGCTCGGGGAGGTCACCAGTAGCGTGTGACCAGAGGGTCTCGCCCCCCTGGACCTGACTCTCTAACAGACGACGAGCGCGAAGAAGCCAGACGGAAAAGTCAAGGGGTCTACCGTCGGCGTCGAAACGAAGAACTCGCGGAGTCGCCATAGTGAGAACCAACGCGAACGAACAGGCGAGTAACAACCGGGGGGGAAGAGGACTCAGTCGCAGCGGAAGAGCGGGCTAGGGCGACGGGCCAAGACGTAGGGTAGGGCAACGGGCCAGGGCCTAGGGTAGGGCGACGGGCCAGAGCCTAGGGAGGGCGACGGGCCAGGGCCTAGGGAGGGCGACGGGCCAGGGCCTAGGGAGGGCGACGGGCCACGGCCTAGGGAGGGCGACGGGCCAGGGCCTAGGGAGGGCGACGGGCCAGGGCCTAGGGAGGGCGACGGGCCAGGGCCTAGGGAGGGCGACGCGACGGGGGAAAGGGCGGGAGCGACGCGACGGGGCAGGGCGACGCGACGGGACAGGGCGACGCGACGGGGCAGGGCGGCGCGATGGAGCAGGGCGACGGGACAGGGCAGGGCGACGTGACGGGGTAGGGCGACGCGACGGGACAGGGCGACGGGACAGGGCAGGGCGACGCGACGGGACAGGGCGACGGGACGGGGGGGGTAACAGGCGGGCGCGACGCGACGGGGGGGATGGCGCTAGGCTCGGTACTAGGCGCGGTAACAACGAAACTGGTACGAACGAGAGGTAGGATCAGGCTCGGGAGGTACGAACGGAGAACGGAGGAACGGGATCCCACAGGATCCTAACCTAGCTGATACCATGTCAGAATGAGGAATGGATGGTTCCATTGATGTTGGTTGGGGTACATATAACAAACCCTAACTTCTGTACCCCCTAAGACAAACCTCACTACAGGCTACAACATTTGACACTTTTTTGCATTTTGTGATTTTGACGTACCGTCCGATTATATGGAATCGGACGGTACGTTTATAACGAAACGGACTGTCCGATTTGAATGTTTGCAACTTCGGACTGTACGAATGCATATGTGACACTTTTTCCACATGCTAGGGTTCCGCGATGGTTTTCCCTTCGCCATCTAAAATGTACACCAGTAACGCTAGTCACAACCCGTCGCAATTTTCGCCTGTGGAGTTCAGCGCTTCGGACATCCATTTGAAATTTTCAAACAAGCACAAAGGCCGTCCACACCAAGCCCTTCGCAGTCAGAGGGTCACAACAACCCACTATCTATAGCAGAGACATCCCTCTGCACTAGCATATGTCGCGCCGCCACCTACTATCCGTACTACACCTCTTGTATAGAGGTTACCAACAGTTTATTGTCCGACCAGGGCTCGACTACATTGCAGAGATTATCATACTGCTCGATGACGAGGACCGCCACATCATGCAACGGGACCGTGAGAGTCAGAGGGAGAGGTGGGATTATATTCTTGGTGGAATGCCTCGTCGGGTTTTCACAGAGACCTTCCGCGTTAACCGTGCTGTTTTCGACTACTTGGTAGAAGCCTGGATCAGTAGAAACAGTGACCGCCAGCGCGTGATACCTGTAGAATCGTGCGTCGCTATGACGCTAGTTTATCTAGGCACAGGCGCAACGTTCCGCCAGCTCGGCCTGCAGTTTGGGGTCGTGCCTCAACATGCGCAGAGGATTGTGCAGGGCTTTATGGCGTTCATAGTGGACGATCTACTCCCTCTCTGGATTTCTCACCCTTCCGCCGAGCAGATGGCGGAGATCGCCGAAGAGTTTCGTTACGAGGGCGGTATTCCAGGCGTCATAGGAGCTCTGGATGGGACGTATATTGAGTGCCGTGGGTTCGGGAGAGACAAGGAGGACTTACAGGAAGGACTTTTACTCTATTATCCTACAGATAGCATGTGACTCTAACGGAATCATCTGGGACTACAATGCGGGATACCCCGGAAGCGTCAACGACTCCCGGGTGTTTACTAACTCCCCGCTCAAACAGCGCTTAGAGGCTGGCGAGTTGGGGAACTACATGCTAGTCACGGACGCTGCATACGCTCTCACAAGCTACACTTGTGTGCCTTGGCGAGCTACTCCCGGACGGTCTCTGCCACGGGCGAAAGACAAGTGGAATACACAACAATCGCGTCAGCGTATGATAATCGAACAAGTCAATGGGAGGCTCAAAGGCAAGTGGCGCATCCTTGACTGCCGGATGGAGTGCCACAGTGAGAGGGTGCCGCAGGTGGTGAGTGCCTGTGTGGCACTTCACAACATCGAACTGACGATCGGCAGCAGGGATCGCCTTGGCACCCCGCCGGAACGCCACCGATGGTGGCTCGAGGGGCCAGCGGCTACTCTTCGACTTACCGGCCCGGAGGTGCGCCGTTTCACGCCTCGTCTTCGGATGAAGAGGTGGACTGCGGCGATCTACGCCTCCTACTGCGCCGCTCATCGGCGTACCCGCGAAACACCTCCCGGGTTAGTGACTTGAATTCCTCCCACTTCGCATCCTGCCTTTTGTCAAAATGCTCTCGTAGTTCCCCTACGAACTCGGCAGTGCTTGACGATTTCTTTGTCTTGACTGCTTTGCGGCCAACACCGCGTGATGCGCCATTCTTCTTTTTCCCTTCATTCTGGCCGTCTTGCTTCCGTGGGTATTGCCACCACGCATTCCTTGAACACCCCTCCCCGCCATCAGACGAAGGGCGCGCTCCCCACGTGATGCGCCGACCGCGGATAGAGATACCCGTCGTCGAACCTGACGGGACCGTGCCGCCGTTTGGGGAGCCGCCGTTGCTCGGAGCGATAGTGTCTGGCGAGAGTGGAGTCTCGTGGGCAGGACGAGACGGAGCGAGGGCGCCGGCTTCAAGACCGGGAGAGGCAGGCTCGGTAATGCGGCTGGTGGCGGGGTCCGGCGTGGGTATGACGGCTGGGATATCTGGCGAGACGGGAGCGGGAGGGCGGGGAGCAGTAACGCGCCGTGCGGCAGCAGTCTGCGAAGGGCTTGAAGTCGGCGGGTGAGGCGTAGCCACCGTCGGTGTGGCGCGGGTGTTGGTGGCGGCCGGAGGAGCTGGACGCGCCGTCGCCATGCCAGCAGGAGCGATGCCGGTACCTGTAAGGACAGGGGGTATGGTGCTTGGGCGCTCACCCCAGAGGCGCTCGCTGAGATGGTACCATGGCGGCAGGTTTGTGACGCGTCCCTCCCCAGATCGCCTGATACGGTCGTTGATGCGACGCCACTCTGCCTTTAGGCGGTTAAACTTCGCCTTGAGTGCCCCCTGGTCATGGCGCCACGTCGGGATGCGCTCAAGGATATCCCGCTGGACCAAGGGGTACCAGGACCTTCCTTGCTGCCCGGTGCGTGCGCGGATCTGCGAGTCGAGGTCGATGAACGTCGCCAGCACCTCGCACTCCTCCTCAGGGGTCCATCGTGGCGAGTTTCTGGCAGTGGAGTGGCGAGAAGCAGCGGCAGTGGTGGTACTTGGCATCGTCGGCTGTGCCGCGGGTTCCTCTTCAACCTCTCCCGGCGCGGCGCTGTCATCAAATGCGGCACCTAGTACGTAGTCATCGTCGGCGTCGTAGGAGGCAGACGGGGAGGGGATTTGGTAAACCCAGTAGTCAGCAGAGGTGACGGTGGGAGTGGTAGAAGGAGTTGTCGGCGTGTTGGAACGATCAGGTATCTGGGACTCTTGTGTTTCGGGCCCAGCTGTGGCAGGAGTGGTCGTATTGGCAGAGGCCGGTGGCAGGGAGTTGGGAGTGGTGTAAACAGACTGGGTGTTCTGCGCGTAGCTAGATGGATCCATTGTGCAGAGTAGTGAGTAGAGTGGGTCAATGTCGTGGCATCTTGTATTGTAGTGAGGGTAGTTGTGATTGGTCAATGTCAAATTTTGAATCCGAGTCGCATTTTTCAATGTTTTGGCGAGGCGGTCCGCTGAAATCCAAATTCGCCCGCCAATCACGTGCGCGGACAGGCGGACAGTCCGTTTGTGTTTCGGACCGTCCGTTGTCAGAGTTTCGTGTCGTTGGAAAGTGGAAAAAGTGTCATGACGGTTTGAATTTGTAGCGACGTCGCACACATCCTCGCGAAGAACTGCACGACATTAAACGAAAATGGTAACCCTTCGCATCGACGTACGGTCCACGGTTCGTTCTGTCGAGTGCAAAATGGTTACACGCCCTTACTGAAACCAGTGCCATCGCAGAAATTAAAAATCATGTGAAACCATTTACGCCTGATGAACCTGTGGAATCTGGCAAAGCAGTTGAATTGCATTTTAGCAGTTGCATGCCCTGAATATGCGAGTTCAGAACAAAGTACCTTATTTTAGATATGCACTTTCGGTCATACGGTAGCAAGAATAATGGGATCTGGAAAGTCACGTGAGGGAGGCACACACACACCCTGTCGTCTCTGCCTCTGCATGTCAGCCACCATACCTATCTGCCAAGCTCGGCGGAGGAAGCTCGGACATGATGTTTGGATGCAGAAGCAGGTACTGGCGAAGGGTGGTCTGACGGTCGGCCAGAAACGTGTGGTCCAGGAAACTTGCAAGCGCCTCTTCTCCTAGCCCTTGCGCCGCCAGCACACTGGAGCAGGGGAATGGGGCAAGGGAAGGGCAATGGTACTGGTAAATGGTAGAGGTCCAGTCGGGTGGTCTGACGGTCGGCCAGAAACGTGTGGTCCAGGAAACTTGCAAGCGCCTCTTCTCCTAGCCCTTGCGCTGCCAGCACACTGGAGCAGGGGAATGGGGCAAGGGAAGGGCAATGGTACTGGTAAATGGTAGAGGTCGAGTCGGGTGGTCTGACGGTCGGCCAGAAACGTGTGGTCCAGGAAACTTGCAAGCGCCTCTTCTCCTAGCCCTTGTGCCGCCAGCACACTGGAGCAGGGGAATGGGGCAAGGGAAGGGCAATGGTACTGGTAAATGGTCGAGGTCGAGTCGGGTGGTCTGACGGTCGGCCAGAAACGTGTGGTCCAGGAAACTTGCAAGTGCCTCTTCTCCTAGCCCTTGCGCCGCCAGCACACTGCAGCAGGGGGAAGAGGCAAAGACACACACATACAAAATGCAGAGTGCAGCAGAATGCAACAGAATGCAGAATGCAGCAGGCGCCGGTGATTAGCAGCTCGGGAGTCGGCTAGCAAGAACAAGTGGTGTGGGAATCTTGCAAGAGGATCTGCTGCCAGCCCTTGAGCCGCCAGAACACACAAGAAGAGGAGGGAAGAAGAGGGAAAGGAAGGCACAAGAGATCGGACATCCATCTTGCACGTTGCAACAAGAGATCGGACATCCATCTTGCACGTTGCAACAAGAGATCGGACATCCATCTTGCACGTTGCAACAAGAGATCGGACATCCATCTTGCACGTTGCAACACACGCCCTCAAGATGATTCCATTCAGTTCAGCACTATGGAATAAACCTCTCATCCCAAGATGATTCAATTCAGTGCGCAACACACGCCGTGAAGATGATTCAATTCAGTGCGCAATCTCGCACCTTCTGCATGGCCCACCTGCCGCACTGCAGCACAGCATCGATAGATATGCTGTGCCGCATGGTAACACAGTAACGTAATTTTTGAGACGTCTCAAAGGCCCACCTGCCGGTCCCGTAGCCCAGCATAGATAGATCTGCTGTGCTGCATGGTAACACAGTAACGTGATATCTCACCAGTGCCGCAGGTACACGCGGCATGGCAGTAACGAGTCGTCCCACACCTTCTCCGCGCCCCACCTGCTGTACTGCAGTGCAGCATTGGTAGACGTGCTGTATTGCATCGTAACATGGTAACACAGTAACGTGATATCTCACCAGTGGCGGAGGTACACGCGGCATGGCAGCAATGAGTCGTCCCACACCCTCTCCACGCCCCACCGGCCGTACTGTCGCTCATACTCCTCTGTGTCGCCTGGAAGGGGGGTGGAGAGGTTGGAGGAAAGAAAGTGAGGTGAGGAGGGAGGAGAGGGGAGGAATGGGGAGAGAGGGAGGAGCAATGCCATGTGAAAAGGAAAAGACCCTTCAAATATTGTCTGAAGGTTTTCATTACGGATCATTTCGTGACAAGGAGAGGAGAGCACACCTTTGAGACGGATTTGAAAGTACTCTCGATCGCTGTAGCGACTGCAGATGACCTGAGGAAGGGAGATGGAGAAAGAGAGAGGGTTGGGTTGTGGAGAGCGGTGGAGGGAAACGAGGGAAACGAGGAATTTGAAGGTACTCTTGATCGCTGTAGCGACTGCAGATGACCTGAGGAAAGGAGATGGTAGGAGGGAGAGAGGGTTGGATTGCAGAGGGGCAAAGAGGCAGTTTTCACGGTACACTAAAGTGCTTTCACGGTGAGCAGGAATCAATGCGACAAAGGCATTTACGCTGCCAGGTTGTCATGGGTGGTTTAGAAGGGCATGGTCACTGACAGTTGATGCATGGTCAATACCGTGTGACAGTTGATGTGCTGTTGATGCTGTGTGACAGTTGATGTGCTGTTGATGCTGTGTGACAGTTGATGTGCTGTTGATGCTGTGTGACAGTTGATGTGCTGTTGATGCTGTGTGACAGTTGATGTGCTGTTGATGCTGTGTGACAGTTGATGTGCTGTTGATGCTGTGTGACAGTTGATGTGCTGTTGATGCTGTGTGACAGTTGATGTGCTGTTGATGCTGTGTGACAGTTGATGTGCTGTTGATGCTGTGTGACAGTTGATGTGCTGCTGATGCTGCTGATGCTGCTGTAAGTCCGGTGATGCTGCTGATGGCTTCTGAGAATGCTAAAAAGCCAATCCATGCTTACTCACTGCGCCGCGTGTTGGTTCAAGTGCTATTGATGCTGATTCTGCTGCTGCTGAGCCTGGTGATGCTGCTACTGGTGATAATCTGCTGGGCGGAACCTGAGAGGCGTAGATTGGAAGGAAAGAAGGGGAGTGAGACGAAGAGGGAATGGAAGGAATAGGATGAAATTGGTGTGGGTAGTAATGGCATAACGGCAAGGGAGTGAAAGAGTGTGACAGTAAGACAAGGGGCAGTGAGGGGCATGAGGTGTGAGAGGGACACGCAGGAAGCACAGGAGGAGCATCAAGGGCGGATGGAGGAAGGGACGGATGAAGGGAGGGAAGGACGAAGGGAGGGAGAATGCTTACAAGAAGGAACCGGAACTCATGCTCTCGTTCCATGAATGCAGGCACCTGCCACGTCACCATGCCATGCCACAATGACACGTCACCATCCCACATCCCCATGCCGCGGGAAAATTATTGGATGGCAGTAGCTAACTCACAAGCAGGTATGCAAGCAGGTATGCAGGTAGTTCAGAATAGCATGCATGCATACAGGTATGCGGGTGCATTGCTCAGGTAGCAGCAGGTACGATTAGCAATGCATCAAGTAGGCCCCACACACCACCGTTTGGTAGTCCTAAAGCAGCAAGAGTTGATGCAAGTAAGGCATCATCCGCTGCCCACCTCTCTGTTACTGACACGATGCATCAAGTAGGCGCCACACACCACGCCTCCGTTTGGTAGTCCTAAAGCAACAAGAGTTGATGGAAGTAAGGCATCATCCGCTGCCCACCTCTCTGTTACTGACACGATGCATCAAGTAGGCCCCACACCACCCCTCCCCTTCTCCCCTCCTCTTCACCCATTAACCTCCCTCCCCTCCCTCTCCTTTGGGATCCCCACTTAGGAGGCATGACTTTGCGTGGCAGCAGCTTAGTTTTAGTTAAAAAAATCTTGTAGAAGGCTTGCTTAAAGACCTTTGTGAAAAAATGGTGGTAACTAGTTTCGGCTTTGAGACTTCTTCACACCACCCCTCCCCTTCTCCCCTCCTCTTCACCCATTGACCTCCCTCCCCTCCCTCTCCTTTTCAGCCTCCCCCACTTCCCCACTCCTTCTTCCGCCCCCCCCTCTCCCCCTCCCCACCCTCTCGCCTTCCGCCCCCCCACTAACTTCCTCCTTTCCCAAGATAGAAAATCTTGAAGCTGAGCTTATAACGAGTACCTCAGTAGCGGGTATGGAGAAGAGTGTGACAACGATCTCCTCCCCCTCGCAGGGCTCCACACTGAGGCTCGAATACTCCTAGGAGTGGGGAGCGGTGAGGAGCGGTGGGGAGCGGTGGAGGCAGCAGATGTTTCAAGATGGGCAATGTGTGGAGCATAGCGAGCACGAGAGGTGGGAAGATGGGCGGAGCAGGGAAGGCGAGATGGAAGAGGAGGAGAGGCGGGCAGAGAAAGGAAGGCGAGATGGAAGAGGAGGAGAGGTGGGCAGAGAAAGGAAGGCGAGATGGAAGAGGAGGAGAGGTGGGCAGAGAAAGGAAGGCGAGATGGAAGAGGAGGAGAGGTGGGCAGAGAAAGGAAGGCGAGATGGAAGAGGAGGAGAGGTGGGCAGAGAAAGGAAGGCGAAATGATTAGGGAAGAATCAGTAGAGAGGTGGGAGAGAGGTGGTAGAGAGGTGGGAGAAAGGTGGGAGAGAGGTGGGAGAGAGGTGGGAGAGAGGTGGGAGAGATGTGGGAGAGAGGTGGGAGAGAGGTGGGAGAGGTGGGAGAGAGGTGGGAGAGAGGTGGAGAGAGGTGGGAGAGAGGTGGGAGAGAGGTGGGAGAGAGGTGGGAGAGAGGTGGGAGAGAGGTGGGAGAGAGGTGGGAGAGAGGTGGGAGAGAGGTGGGAGAGAGGTGGGAGAGAGGTGGGAGAGAGGTGGGAGAGAGGTGGGAGAGAGGTGGGAGAGAGGTGGGAGAGAGGTGGGAGAGAGGTGGGAGAGAGGTGGGAGAGAGGTGGGAGAGAGGTGGGAGAGAGGTGGGAGAGAGGTGGGAGAGAGGTGGGAGAGAGGTGGGAGAGAGGTGGGAGAGAGGTGGGAGAGAGGGGGAGAGAGGTGGGAGAGAGGTGGGAGAGAGGTGGGAGAGAGGTGGGAGAGAGGTGGGAGAGAGGTGGGAGAGAGGTGGGAGAGAGGTGGGAGAGAGGTGGGAGAGAGGTGGGAGAGAGGTGGGAGAGAGGTGGGAGAGAGGTGGGAGAGAGGTGGGAGAAAGGTGGGAGAGAGGTGGGAGAGAGGTGTGAGAGAGGTGGGAGAGAGGTGGGAGAGAGGTGGGAGAGAGGTGGGAGAGAGGTGGGAGAGAGGTGGGAGAGAGGTGGGAGAGAGGTGGGAGAGAGGTGGGAGAAAGGTGGGAGAGAGGTGGGAGAGAGGTGTGAGAGAGGTGGGGGAGAGGTGGGAGAGAGGTGGGAGAGATGTGGGAGAGAGGTGTGAGAGAGGTGGGAGAGAGGTGGGAGAGAGGTGGGAGAGAGGTGGGAGAGAGGTGGGAGAGAGGTGGGAGAGAGGTGGGAGAGAGGTGGGAGAGAGGTGGGAGAGAGGTGGGAGAGAGGTGGGAGAGAGGTGGGAGAAAGGTGGGAGAGAGGTGGGAGAGAGGTGTGAGAGAGGTGGGGGAGAGGTGGGAGAGAGGTGGGAGAGAGGTGGGAGAGAGGTGGGAGAGAGGTGGGAGAGAGGTGGGAGAGAGGTGGGAGAGAGGTGGGAGAGAGGTGGGAGAGAGGTGGGGGAGAGGTGGGAGAGAGGTGGGAGAGAGGTGGGAGAGAGGTGGGAGAGAGGTGGGAGAGAGGTGGGAGAGAGGTGGGAGAGAGGTGGGAGAGAGGTGGGAGAGAGGTGGGAGAAAGGTGGGAGAGAGGTGGGAGAGAGGTGTGAGAGAGGTGGGGGAGAGGTGGGAGAGAGGTGGGAGAGAGGTGGGAGAGAGGTGGGAGAGAGGTGGGAGAGAGGTGGGAGAAAGGTGGGAGAGAGGTGGGAGAGAGGTGTGAGAGAGGTGGGGGAGAGGTGGGAGAGAGGTGGGAGAGAGGTGGGAGAGAGGTGGGAGAGAGGTGGGAGAGAGGTGGGAGAGAGGTGGGAGAGAGGTGGGAGAGAGGTGTGAGAGAGGTGGGAGAGAGGTGGGAGAGAGGTGGGAGAGAGGTGTGAGAGAGGTGGGGGAGAGGTGGGAGAGAGGTGGGATCGCCAGAGCAGGGGATGTCACGCACTCACCCTGGTCTCGCTATTAGCAATCCCCCTTATAAAGAACACTGGCGCAGCGTGGCAGAAGACCCGGCGGAACCCTCTCAGCCTGGCCTGGCGGAACCCCTCCAGAGATGGGAACGTGCTGCGCGCACTGCGCTCTTGGTAGATAAAGAAGGGGTGGTGAGGGGTGGAGACGAATGCGGAGGGGTTGAGGTGTGAGGGACGAGGGACGATTGGGGAGGGGTTGAGGGGGAGGATGAAGAACCCCTTGTTGCACTTGCACAAGGCCGAACCCTCTCAGCCTGGCCTGGCGAAACCCCTCCAGGGATGGGAACGTGCTGCGTGCACTGCCACTGCCCTCTTGTGCAGACAAGAAATGGAAGGGGTGAAGAGTGGTGGAACGGGATGGGGAGCGGTATGGAGTGGTGGGGAACAGTGAGGAGGGATGGGGAGGAGGGTGAGTGACCCCTTGTTGCACCGGGCGAAAATTTGTCATCCTGGCCTGGCGGAAGCCCTTACAGTAACGGAAGCGTGCTGTGCGTACTGCGCTCTTGGTCGATTTGAGATGTGGTGAGGGGTGGAGAGGAATGGGGAGGGGTTCAGAAGGATGAGTGACACCTTGTTGCACCCAGCGGAACCCCTCCAGTGATTTGAACATGCAGAAGATACGAGGAAGCTGCAGAGGATATATATTACCTGAGAGGAGCGATCCGAAACCGATGATGGAAATCCTGCCATCCTCGCTCGCTGCCTGTAGGAAATCCGATTCGTCCGTCAACTCCACGCAGTCACTAGCGTCATGACACGTGTCAATGCTGGTAGCACGGATCGCGTCCGCCGACTGCCGACGCGATCCAGCTGTCAACAACCAATCGACGTCTTCTGATCGTAGTTCGAATCGCCGGCCGACATCTGGGGTACGGAATACTTGCAAACGTCGTATCGTCCTACCATGGTAGAACCGAGACGCATTCAGCGCATTGACCGGAGAAGGCGATTCGAGGCGCGCTATGCGGTTTCCTGCTGGGACGCAGGCTCGGGAAAACGCAGATGCACGGTAGCGTGCTCTGGTGCACATACTAGGGATACGGCCACATGCAGAGGAGGGAATCAGGGTTTGTCGCTGCAGAGCAGCAGGCACGTGGGGAGCTCCGCCGTGCCACGCAGCCATTTGGAAGTGCAGTGGGGGTTTCTGTAATTGTTAGCGCGAAATGCGGCGGAATCTCATCTGGGAGTGATGAGCTGATAGTGAAGTAAATGTCTTGATGGCAGAGAGCACGTGTCTGGAAAAGAATGTCTGAAAAGGATGTTTGGAAAGTTCCGAGTCGCAAAACGTGAACAAAGGTGGGATCTTGCAGAACTATAACGTACTATAATAGGAAATTTATATATTCGGCGTACAAGTGAACAGATGTAACAGTAACGTTCACGAACCACCGACATCTGGTGAACGTCGACGAACCAATCGCAGCATTTATAGAGGTGTATCGACGAAGCACCTTCGCAGATGCTGCGAAGGATCGCAGGGTCTGACGGTTGGCTCTGCGGATAGAGCTCTTCGGTCACACAAATCGCAATCCTCACTGATGCGACAAGACTCTGAATCTGGCCGACGAATGTTGACAAACCGCGCGATACTTTCTCTGTGGCTTCTCCCACATTTTCAGAAGCAGCTTTATGGGCAAGTATTACGAGCGAGAAAGTACCCTCAAAACATGCTTCATTTAAAAGCTGTTTGAGGGAGTCCAACTTGGTCACAGTTTGTAAATCTGGCACAAATATCGTAGTGTGGAGATTCCCTGCCAAATCTCACGACGCATTTCCTAAATAACCCCTGTCATCTGCCCCTTGTCGATGTCAGCCGGAGAGTTCCCCTTCTGTACAACGATTCGAGGAGGGGAACGAACAGAACTGTCGCCTGCCGCCAACTCGTCGCACGATCTCATCCAAAGTACTCGAAAACGAGTCGCTTGCTCTCGGCTAAGTCAAGAGCGACACTGCGATTAGCTTGCTGGTCAAATGCCTTCAAGAGCAATGATCACCGCATCGCAGGGGTCCATAAACAAAAAAGAATTCCCCCCACACGAAACCCTGATGGAATTTCACACTTGTCCCAGTTCACAAAGCACGAGATGCTCGCAAAGCTGGGAATCGGCGGTCTTGCTGTCTTCTTCTGTCGCTACCATCCCCACACCATTCTGGAGGAGATATTTGAAGGGTTGCGGGGACATGGTCCTGAGATTTGCCCAAACTGCTGTAACTCTGTAGCCAGAACAACACCACGGGTCATCTTGAAGCCAGCCACAGGTCAAGCAGCAGCCTCCATTTTCAGTACAAAACAAGACTCCTGCAAGGAGAAATTCTGAACCTGCCCGTTTCAACCCTCGTTCTTTGGGGAGCTGTCGAAGCAAACTCTCCTCCAGAAGCAAGAATCGAGATAACTCGCATGTGGATTCGACCAGACTTTCAGTCCCCACACGTACTCTAGAAGCCTCCGGACTGGCGGAGAAGAGATAACTGTGGTGCCTCCATATTTTCCAACTTGGGTAATGACGTTCGACGATTGTCGCTTCCGTACCGTAGTCCGCACTTCCTTCTCGGGGAGTCCCGTTTTTACCTTGACGCACCCGTTCAGGGCTCCATTCAAGACGCGTCGGATAATATTTTCTTCTCCTCACCCTCCCTACTGACCCCTCCCTACAGCTGTACATAGGTGGAGCAGATTATATCTCGCAGCATCCAGTTTTTTCACTGTCAAGAGAGGAACCGAGGCCGAGTTAGATTCAAACCACAGCCAGAAACGCGACGACGTCACGACGAGCGGTCCGCTGCCGCACTCACTGGCAAAGGCGCACCTACCGCAGCGCATATTTCCCATTTCGCGGGAGGATCAACGCAGGGAGTACTAGCAGCTAGCGCTGCAGGGGGGCGACTGTAAATTATCAACCACTGAAGCAGTCAAATGTCAGCGTCGGACCAGCCACTTGCAAAGCTCTAAGTAGGCCTCAGACCAGCCGCGCAATACCCGCAGCGAGAGATTCATGTTCGAACTGATGGACGCCATGTGGACTTCCAATTGTATCACAACACTGACTCCGCCGTCCGCCAGACGTCTCTCGCTTCGCCATGGCGCCTCGGCAGCGGATATTAAGGCTTACATGAGGGACCTCTTCCACGAGCTCGAAACTACGCGGCTCGCCGGCATCCCGCTCTCTGCCGACGGCTGGCGACGCCGGACTGCCGGCGCGCCGCGGCTGCAGGACTGCTACAAGATTGGGCGGGATCTGGGGCGCGGGCATTTCGGCGTGGTGCGCGAGTGCGCAGATGCGCGCACGGGAGAGCGGTTCGCATGCAAAACCATTCTCAAGGACCAGATACAGCGGCCCGAGGACCTCAAGGAGCTCCGCGCGGAGGTGCTCGTTCCGCTGCTGCTGCAGGCGGAAGCGGAGCCGGCGGCGGCGGCGCGGAAGAGAGAATCTGGTCAGCAAGCGCCGAAAGCTGCTGGCTTTGTGCGCCTATTTGAGGTTGCGGAGGACGAGTCCGCGCTGCATCTCATCGTGGAGCACTGCGCGGGAGGGGATCTCTTCGACCACGTCGCGCGCAACAAGCGCCTCGCGGAGCGCGAGACCGCGGGGATATTCCGCCAGGTTGTCTCCGCCGTGCTGCGCATGCACGCGTGCGGAATCGTTCACCGCGACCTCAAGCCAGAAAATATCTTCCTCCTCCGCGCGCCCTCCGCCTGCTGCGCGTCCGCCACTCTAGCCAGCGCAACTGTCGACGCTCGCGCCGACGCAACTTCTGCGGAATGTTCCGCGGAGGTGCGCGTGGGGGATTTCGGATTGTCGCAGCAGCTGACGCGCGCGCGGCCGCGGCTGCGCGGATTGGCGGGGAGCCCGTTTTACATGGCGCCGGAAATTGTGCGCGGAAAGGAATACGGCGCGGAAGTTGACGTTTGGAGCCTGGGTATTGTTTTGTACACCTGCCTGTCGGGCGTTCTTCCGTTTTACGGAAAGAATCATAACGCGGTTTTCGCTGCTGCATGTCGTGCGAATCCGGATATGAGCAAGCATCCGTGGTCGCACATTTCCACGGAAGCTAAGCACCTTGTGAGAAGTATGCTTCAGGCGGATCCAACTCGGCGAATTCGACTGCACGAAATACTGTACCATCCGTGGTTCAAGACTGCTGGTTACTCAAGCGCTTATCGGAACCACTTAAATGGGGACATTTCGTCACTCTTGCCTGCTACGGTTTCGGTTTCCCAATCAAATTCGCCGTTGGCGTCTAAAGCAGCTGCTGTGAGATCGCCGAAGTCAGCCCCGATTCCCATTCCAATGGCTGGTTCAGCTACATGCCGAAACACTACCTGCAGAGAAATTGTAACTAAGGGTGCTAGGATTTTGCCAATTCCCAACGTCGATACAACCACCCCCACTTGTGGTCCTCCTGTCAGCGGCGACTCAACTTCTTCGTCTTCATGTGACTCATCCCTCTCCATTATACGCTCTACTAGCGTCTCCAGTAGCAGGAGCAGCAGCAGCAGCAACTACAGCAACATGAGCAACCCCATCATGCCAAGTGCTCCACGAATAACCTGCCATAATACCCTTAAATCCCCTTAGGCAGCTTCTGCTTATGTTCAACCTTCAGTACCTTCCCGTCCTGCCCTGCCCTCTCCTGCCGTGCTCCCTCCTCCTCCTCTACCTCCCACTCTCTCTCCTCCTCTTACGCATCAGCAACCCCTTGTGCCTCAGGAGCTGAACTCTGAATCAGGTGGCAAACAGCCTAGTTCCCACCCAACAAGTGCTGGCAGCACAGGGCAGACAGGTTCGCAAAACGCCACAAACAGCAGCAGCAGTTGGAGCATATGGGATGGGCTGCCTGTGTCCTGCATTCTCCAGTCAGCCCAAACTGACCAGCAGCTCATGGACAGCACAGTAACCTGCACTGGACCCATACACGCCGGCATTCACATAAGGCTTATGCTTTGACAATTTTCATGTGGTACATGGGCGATAAACCTGGTTTGGTACACATTTTTGTAGTGCAAGTACCTCATATAGACAAGTACTTATTATGTTCCTTAATTTGAATGTGCTTACCTATCCTTTGTATCTTGAAACGAAATCTGAAAAGATGTTGAGCTCTAAAATGAGTCTACAAGTTTTTGTGCGTGTTATGAGTTGCACTAGACAGTGCGCGGAAGACTTCTATAAAGAGAATGAATTACAGAATGATCAATAGACTAAAGGAACATGCATTTATAGGGTCGAAACCGGGCTAGGCGAGGACCTCGGGACGTGGGTGGCATGGAAGTGTCGCGATTGGTGCGGGGCGACTCGGGAAAGTGGTTCGGGCCGAAATGTAGGCCGAACCCAAACTGACGCGAAGTTCGGGCTGTCTTCGCTAGGAAGCAGCCTCTACAGTACCGAATGTATATTCATTACAATGCGAGCGATGTTACCTGGGTTGAAACAATAAAATTAGTACATCTTTGGCTGGTGAATTCACATTACTTGTTTGGTTGAACAATTAAAACGTTACAACTGAATGGTCATAGCATCGACCTGAACCAGCCATCACAGCGCTAAACGTGCCAACCTGAATTTCTATATCTTGCCACTCTTGGCAACTTGTTACATTACAGAGACTGCGCTGTACCTGAATCCCGGCATTCCAAACCCAGCACTGAACACCTCCTCCCTCAGCTCCTGAAATTTCTCCTTTTCCTGCTCCTGGTAACCCTGTTACAGTGAATGATCTACACCTGAATGGATGCAACATCGAACCCGGGCATTTCAAACCCAGCGCTGAACGCCTCCACCTCCTCCTTCAGTGCCTGCAGCTCCTTATTCTGCTCCAGGTCCTTGAGGAAGTCACGCAGAAGCTTCCCTTTCTCCTTCTGAATGTCCAGGCTGATTTTGACTGCTCTGTCCAGAAACTCACCCACCTTCTCGAAGTCTTTCTCAACTAGGCCTCGAGAGGTCATGGCGGGGGTGCCTGATTGGTGGGAAGAAGTGTTCAAGGAGGTGTGGAGGGGTGTGGAGGTGTTGGGAGTTATTAAAAACTGGTCTTGTGCGCTCTGTCCAAAAACTCGCCCACCTTCTCAAATCCTTCTCAACGAAGCCGCGAGAGGTCACGGCCAGGGTGCCTGTGATGTGACGAGGTGAGAGGGGATGGGAAGGAGTGGATTGGGATGGGACGAGGATAGGCAACTCACCTACTGTCACGAGGATTTCTCAACCAGGCTCCTAGGGGTCATGGCCAGGGTGCCGGTGGTGTGACGGGATGTGATGAGCGATAGAGGGGATGAGCGATGAGAAGGAGCGCAACGGGATGGGATGAGATAGGGACTTTGTCGAAAGCTTATAAATGCGACTCGTCTATTTCCAAGAGATCATGGCAGATGTTGCCTGATCTATGGTGGGGATGGGAATGGGTGTGAGGTGCCGGGAGTGGGGTATGGGGTGTGTGGAGGGGTGTAGGGTGTGGGTTGTGTCACATGAAGATTGATACATGAGCATGCCCCGATGTCCGCACACTCACCCAAAGCCCTTCCCACCAGGCCTCTGGGTGTTGTGGGCTGTGTGGAACCGTGAGATAAGGTGAGGGTGTGGTGAGCGGGGAGTGTGGCCTAACAGTTTTGAGTGAAAGTTAGAGCTAAGCCCAGAATGTGGACTTCAGCTCAATCCACCCACTGCTCTCACTCGGTTCGCACCTATTCTGACACCACCAGGTGCCAATGCGTTGCTGTCACCAAAGACGGAATTCTTGTTGAGTGTGATGTGGGCGATGTCACACACCTTCTCCATCTTGTTGCCTGCCACGTGGACACACCCAGGGTTTAACAGAGGTTACAGGTTTAAGGACAGGGTTCCATTTACAGTCACGTGTCAGATTCTTGTTGAGCGTGATGTGGGCGATACCAAACACTTTCCCATCTTGTTGCCTGCCACGTGGACATACGCAGGGTTTACAAGGGGGTTAGGGATACCATTCCAGAATGACAGCCACATGGCAGATGGCGCACCAGGAGAGGTTACATTTTCAATATTATAAAAAGGAGATCTGGAACAGCAGGTATCGGATGCAGAGAGTAACAGAGTGGGACTGACAAAGCACAGCAGAGTGTGACAAAGCACAGCAGAGTGTGACAAAGCACAGCAGAGTGTGACAAAGCACAGCAGAGCGTGACAAAGCACAGCAGAGCGTGACAAAACGGAACGTGACATCTCAGTATGTGACGCAACAGGGCGGTACATACCAGTGAGGCCCAATGGCCGAAGATCCCACAGCAGCAGGTGGTTGTCCGTGCCTCCGGTAACCAGCTTGTAGCCCTTCGCTACTAGTGCCTCGCCCAGCACACGGGCATTGGCCTTCACCTGGACCAATCAGAGAAGAGTAACAGGGGAGACGAAAACAAGGAAAAACAAAAAGAAAAAGCTGGAGAGGCAGATGGGGAAGGCGGGAGTTGGGCCCCATATCAACGATTGGGCTAACGTAATACGGGAAATTGGAACGCCAGGGTCTTTTAGAATGTCCGGGTTCAGTCTTTAGCAAGCTGGCACGGGTAGTTGAACCAGCAGGGTTCAGGGTTTAACAAACCCTCAAAAGAATGTGATATTGAATGGGTGACGGGAAGCGAGGACACAGGCCTGCCCAGCCTAAAAGCCGAAGCTTAAGAACACTTCTGATTAGACTCAAGAGCCGCTTCACTTAGACGCGCACAGCACCTCAATTGCCCATGCGGGGGATTGCTTGTTTCTCTCGGAGAGACCTAACTGCAGGGTCTAAGGTTTCAGGTTTCAAGTTAGGGTGCACGTTTACGGGTTTCAGATTTAGAGTCCCGGGTTTTAAAGTGAACTCGGATCGACCTTGAAGTAGACCCAAAGAAAAGTATTAGGTGCGTGGCGCATCTTGCAGAATAGGGCACACGCCCTACAGGAGGTCGAAGATTGATCTAGTCGTACCTGCTGCGCGTAAGCCTTGAACGCGGGAGTGGACGCCTGCTTGAGCGCCACGGCAAGCGCGCCGATCTGGTGGTTGTGCGGGCCGCCTTGGAGCGTCGGGAACACCGCGAAGTTGATGCGATCCTCGAAGTGGTACATCCCGTCGTCCGCCGCCGCCGCCGCCTTCGCGCCTGCCTTGCTTGGCGACGCGGCCGCTTTCCCCGCCGGGGACGCCGCGCCATTGGCCTGCGCAGCGGACTTGGGGCCGCGGCGGAAGAAGATCATCCCCGCGCGCGGGCCGCGCAGGCTCTTGTGCGTCGTGGTTGTGACGAGATCGCAGTAGTCGAAGGGATTCGCAGCTTCCTGCGCAGATGGGGGCGTTGGGAGCCAGGGATGGAGGAAGCGGGTGTAGGTGCGGTGAAAAAAGGTTGATTATTCTCCTGAAAACGAAGGAGGAATGATCAGATTTTCCTTATGACGTTCATTTTAACGTGAGACTGCAGATGAATTGGTCGTCAACTAGAAAGAAAGGAACGACTGAGGAAAACAGCGCAAATTTGCATATTCTCACAAGAAAGAATCGTACCTGCGACGCCACAAGTCCACTGATATGCGCCATGTCGCACAGGAGCGTCGCACCGACTTTGTCCGCAATCGCACGGAATCGCGCGTAGTCCCACTCGCGAGGGTACGCGCTCCCGCCGCAAATGATCATCTTCGGTCGAAAATCAATAGCCTTCTCCTCGAGCTTCGCGTAATCCACGATGCCCGTCTCGGGATCGACCTTGTACGGCAGAGATTCGAAGTAGATCGACGTCCCCGATATACGCTTTCCGTTTGCCATATAATAACCGTGCGTCAGGTGACCGCCGGAGGGCAGATCCAGGCCCATCACGCGATCGTGAGGTTGCAAAATCGCTGTGTACGCCGCGAAATTTGCCGGGCTGCCCGAATACGGCTGCACGTTGACTCCCCATTTCGCGGGGTCGAGATGGAACGCTTCGAGCGCGCGGTTCCGGCAAAGATTCTCGATCTCGTCGATGTACTCATTCCCGCCGTAGTATCGCGCTCCGGGCATGCCTTCGGAGTATTTATTCGTCAGCGGGCTGCCCAGCGCCTCGAGCACGGCCTGCGAGGTGAAATTCTCGGACGCGATGAGCTCGATGCCGCGCCACTGGCGCTTCTTCTCCTTCTCAATCAGTTGAAACATCTCCGGGTCCACCTGAGCCAACGGGGTGTTGCCCCATGCTTTCACCGGATCCATGTTCTGCGCACGCGGTAGTTACGGCCAACGCAGTGTTTTGGAGCAGCTGGGGACTAGAGCGGTTCTAAACTGGTTTCCGCAACAAAACTATAACAAGAAGGCTAGCAGAGTAGCTGCTTCAAAATTCGAGAAATTGAAAGATGGTTTGAACAGCTGCTTGGGGATTCTTTTGAAGCAGAACTGATGCCCTTGGGATGTGTCACATCCAATCAGGAAATTGTGGTTGTTGGAGCTACCTGTGGTTACATAGAAACAGTCGCAATATGTCTCGTCGTTTCGCGCAGAAGAATCGTCAGGGGTAAAATCGTTTCGGTAAGCATGCGACTTTGAACGCTCTTGGGGTTGGTGATGCTCGAGGTCTGTTGACGGCTAGCCCAAGAGGTTCGGGAGAGGGGGGACAAGCTCCCACGAGGCTTGGTGCGGTGAATCTGTGACATGCGTCGGCTGAGCGCCCAGAAAAAAGGGACAGTTTTCGGAAATTCCCAGCGGCATGAGGTATTGCTAAAGACGAGTTTGCTGGTAAATGGTTGCGGGTTAGTCGTGAAACGAGACGCGCTTCGTCCGATTTTTGGGGGTCAGAGCACGTAAAGCCCGAGAACGTCGCGAGCGATGCAGGCCCGATCACATCAAGACAGTACAGTTGTGTCTCTTCAGGGATGCTATGGGTTTTACGTTTGGGGATTTATACAAACGCCCACAATTGGTGAAAACAGATCAGCGACAGGAACATTTCAAGTCGCAACGGGACTGTAATTTGTGGCTAGCTGGCTCTGTGGCAGGGTCAGCGCAGCGTCGGGAAGCTCTTTGATGGGCTGGTTGCCCGTTGCCTGCCCCTGCTGGCGCCGCCTCCCATTCGCGCGGGGAAAGCCCAGGGTCGCTTCGATTTGACAGCACTGACAGGCTGCCAGCGTGGCGCCGCGGCATCTCAAATCTCGATTCTTGTGCCAGCTGATCTTCAATCCCAGGAGTTCGCTTTGAGCCACACGTGGAGGAAACAAGCTTCCAATCACATTTCATTCAAGATATGTCGTACACCCTGTTTCGCGCTAGCAGAGCATCTGGTTGCAGAACATGCACAGGTTGTAGAACGTCACCACGTTTGAAATGGTCTTATCACCGACGGTACAAGCACATTCACAAGAAAGCGGTTAGCTAGGATGCTGCATGGTAAAGAACATTAACCAAGCGTTTCAAAGCGGTTGAAAAGGGTATACAGCGATAAAGAAAAATTTTGCCCCCAGTACCACTCCGTCAGCTGGTGCGGCTTTGCCCGCAGGTTTCAGCCATACGGTTTATGGCACCTGACCGCACTGTAGCAGCGAATCGCGCAAGGTGAGAGGGTCGAGAAACAGGGTGTAAACCCATGCGTACAGTGTTGAAGCAAGAATGAGAAGTCCCAAACCTAAAAGGCTTGCGCCGTATGGCGCATTCTTGCCCTGCCTAGCAAGCAAGTGCAGCATACACTACACTAGTCCAACACCTCCTTATGTCAAGAGAACTCTTTATGGAGGATGAAAATTTTCCCTTCGAAGCCACGAATTGCGTAGAACTGGGTGGAGCGATGGAATGCCCGCCACGTCAAACTGTAAGAAACGTCGTTTGATACCGAACTTGATCCTCGATGCGCTCTTCTTCTGCTTTGTAACCGAGGCCTTGGACCACCGTATGAAGAAATTCTTGCACGCCAGGAGTACTGTCTGAAGTGTTTGCGGCTCGGGGGTCTCAATCTGGTGGTGCACCGCGTCGCAGCGTTTATTCCATGGAACTTTAGCAGCGGCCCCAACGAGTAGGCTCTAGGGCGCGACTTGGCCGGCAGGGGTGGGCGGCGGAAAGAGCGTAAGCTCAGCCGGCAGCGTGATGCCAAGGTGTTCGTGGGCAGAGCGCTGGAGTGCAATGATGACAGCACGTGTGTTTCCGCAGTCGTTGAAGATGTGTGTGAGTGTTTCAGGCGTCCCGTCGTTACACCGCACGCAGTTCCGTCCGAGTGGGGTGAAGGGTACCCTTGGACCGCATCGTAGCGAGCGGATGTAGAGCCGATATAGCACGTCCCTTTGTCGGCTAGGTTGTTCGGTAAGGAATGGCTGCGTTAGTGACGGAAGTGACTCAAGTGCTACAGGCAGTATCTCGTTCCATCGTTCTACATGCGTCAGCATCCTCTAAGTGTAGATGAGGTTCCGGATAGATGCTAGGGATGAGCAGTGTTGCAGAAAATCAAGCCTGCTGCCAGAGCTGAAGGTGTCTGCCAGCTAGCCGTTGCGGACGAAGACAGGAATGGCCTCGTTTAGTGGGAGGATGCATGTCTCTGTTAAGTGCTCGGCGATTCTCATATTGTTGACGCAAAAGCAGCTGAAACGCGTTGTCTTATTGGGGAAGACCGCCTTCATCTGTAGCATCTGTGATGACGCCCCATGGCCGTGGGAGGCCCGAATGGCCCACTCCCCAACCTCCAGGTACTTTGGTGGTGGTGAGAAGGCGTCGAGGACAGGCTACCATGCCTTAAGAACCGCATGATAGATGTCCAAGATGACCCTGAGTGCCCCGGGGAATTCTTTTGGTGGAAACTTGGCTTTGATTTCGTCCTCGTGAAGTTTGCGCGAACCTGCGGGAGTGGGAGCGAGGAGGCCACCGAGTCTCAGCTCCTTGGAGAGTAGGAATTTTTCGCCTTCGATGCGGCCGAATGGGCGTTTATGAGGCCGCACTATCTCGCGATTGAAAGCAAGGGGCTCGGCCATGAGCACCCACGGTTCGAGCCTAGGTGGGTGAACCGCCATCGGGAGTTCCAAGGTAGCGGTGAGTTCTGCCACTGCACGCGCTGGCGTACTGTCAGGTAAGAACTTGAGTAAGTCTGTATGAGCTAGGAAGCAGTGCAGTCTGTAAGGAAGAGAGCAGCAGGACCTAGCGATTTCTTCCATGGGGGTCGGGAGGAAGCGTCTTGCGGCACGTTGCACGTTAAGCGCTTGCAAATATTTGGAAGGTTCAATCGCCCCCACTCCCCCATGACAACGCTTGTTGTAGAAGTAATCTTTGGGGACAAGCCGCGTCCCACGTCCCTGAGCTCGATACTTGGAGGTGGAGAGGAGATTCCCAACTATGGTATCGAGTTGCTTTGTGATCCCCTCAGAGGGCGGTTGAAATCGCCCGCCGAAGGCGAAGAGGGGAACGAGGCGCTCGGAGCTTAGGGCGGACCGGCATGTGACTGTGGCATGTATCTTGATGAAGTATGCAGCCGTATTTCGGACTCTCTCCATTATTTTGTCCCAGGTGGTGGCCCCCGGGGTGTTGGATTGAATGTAGATTCCCAGAATGCGCTAGGCCTCGTTTGGCTGCCGAACTGGGATGGGACACGCGGAGGGAACATCCTCTGGGGGGACATGGAAGCGTGACAGTGAGCACTTAGACCAGTTGGGGTGTTCGCCTGAGACATCCGCAAAGTCTAGTAAGAGGCGTATCGCCGTCTGCACCTCACTTCCTGAGTTGAGGAAGAGCGACATGTCGTCTACATAGGATGCCGCAAGCCGGCGTTGCCTTGGTGATAGGGCGAAACCAGGGAGGGATACCGAGAGGTGGCGGTGAAGGACCTCGATGACGCAGATGAACAGAAGAGGCACCAGGGGGAAGCCTTGCCGAACGCCGGTGAGCACAGGGAAGGAGGGGCCAGCCAGGTTGTTAACGAGGACTTGGGTGCTGGTGCCAGAGTGGAGCAGTTTGACCCATGAGATGAAAGCCCTGGGTAACCTGAGGTGGGAAAGGCACATGTAGAGGAAGTTGCGATCTACCATGTCATATGCTTTTTTTATGTCAACTGTGACAACTACGAGAGGTAGTTGTGTGAAAGAATGAGAAATGATGGACTAGGAAACGAGTTGGGTACAAATATGTAACCCTAGAAAACTGTACCCCATACTGTCTACCTCATTACATCATAGAAAGACTACAGCATAAATGTTTGACACACCCCCATAGGCAAAGTGGGGGAGAACAAGAGGTCACAAGACCAGTCAAGCAAGGCAAGCTCAGGGTGGATCACAACGTCACCACACATTCCGAGCACAAGTTCAAGGCCACAAGGCCAGTTCACATGCAGGATTATATATAAAGGTAGACAAGCAAGTGCAGGTGTATATATATATCACAGTACAAACAAGGTCAAGAAGTGAGCAAGTGAGGCCAAGTAGGCACAAGACATAGCATCGTACAAAATCGCTGATGATCACAAGGCTGAAGTGCCTTGGTAAAGATATCAGCAGTGTTGGCCCTACAGGCCACGTAAGCAAGGCGCAGTTGACCACGCTGCTGCAGCTCACGAGCAAGGAAGTAGTGAAGAGCAATGTGCTTTGTTATGTGCTCAAGTCTGTGCTCCCGACACAAGGCCAGCATGGCCTTGTTGTCTCTGTACAGAACTGGAGGAGAACGAGGCGGCTCTCCTAGGTCAGTCAGCAAGTAGGTGAGCCAGCGTAGCTCCTGTGCAGCCATGGCCCCTGCGTAGATCTCAGCCTCACAGCTGGAGCCGAGAACAGAAGACGAGCGCGTAGACCGCCACGAAACAGAGCCGGAACCAAGGCTGAAGGTGTAACCCTGTGACGACCGTTGCGTAGCCTGGTCGTCAGCCCAAGAAGCGTCTGCGTGACCAGTGACGTACAACGGCGGCAGTGAGGTGTCGGTGCGTAGAAACAGCGACGGGTCAGCAGTAGAAGGTGCGAACCCAAGAGCCGCAAGCGTAGTCCTCAGTGTGTCTTGCCACTCACGAGGCGCCTGGCGGAGATCGTAGACTGGCCGTCGGAGGCTCCACTGGGTACCAGGAGGGAACGACCCAGTGAAGCCAGGTGGACGCCGCAGCCAGATCTCCTCGTGCAGGCTGCCCTGTAGGAAAGCAGTGCTGAAGTCAAGCGAGTGGAGCTTGTAGTCACGCTGAGCGGCGACGTGCAGCAGAACCCGAAGAGTGGTCA